CACATTCATCAAGTTTTGGCCACATTCATCAAGTTTTGACCAGACATAAAAAAAATTACCCACACGTCAAGCTTTTTGGCAGACAATTAGTTTTGACCACACATCAAATTTTGATCAGATATTAAATTTGGGCCACATCAATCAATATTTGAACAGCCATCAAAATTTGGACACACGTCAAGATTTGGCCATGTTCATCAAGATTTGAACAGCCATCAAAATTTGGACACACAATAGACTAGACATCAAGATTTAGCCAAACGTCAGACAACATGGATTTGGCCACACATTAACTTTTAACCAGTCATCAAGATTTTGGTTACAAAATCTCGGGAAGATGAGGCTCGTTAGCTGGGGATAGCCACTCTTCTAGGAGTGACAACTCCAAAACCAAACAACTGCTGCCTTGTAGTTTGTTCTTGGTTGGACAAAGGCTATGGAAGCAGATGAGGTTCGTTAGCTGGGAACAGCCACTCTTCTAGGAGAGACAACTCCAAAATCAAACAACTGCTGCCTTGTAGTTTGGTCTTGGTTGGACAAAAGCTATGGAAGCAAATCCAAAAAGAAAGCAGGCTGAAATCGGAGTCAATGGCCTCAATGGCGCATAACCAGTTGACACGTATCTTTAATTTCGATGGAGGCGTGGTCGAGTCTGTAAAAGCTCATGGTTGATAAATTCGAAAACAAAAAAGTCACCCTCTGGCAGATAAGGCTCGGTCCCTTCCAACATTAAAAATAAAGAACGAAGAAGAAGAAGGTTACAAAATTAGCTTGGGTCACTTATCAATGATGATGTCTTATTAACAGATATAATATCAGAAAGCCTGACTTTGTCATAGATCAGCTGTCAGTGATGTGCAGTGCCGGCGCCAGGTTATATTTAGCGCCCTATGCAAAACCTATTAAAACTCACCCTTTTACACGAATTAATTACTTTAACACACACACACACACACACATATATATATATATATATATATATATATATATATATATATATATATATATATATATATATATATATATATATATATATATATATATATATATATATAAGAAAACAATTAATTAAAAGAGACATTAATTTATTGTCAATTGCATACACGTTATAAGTAGACATCAAAATCAAATTTTACTTGCCTCCTTCGTCTCCAAAGTGTGTACTAATTCCTTTCAATTCCAGTTTGCAGGCGTAATTACATTTTATTGAAATTGTTGCTAAGTCCACGAGTCTACTTTGTACTTTACCACATAGCCCCCCTCCCCCTTAGAAAATTTTAAGTGCTCCCCCCCCCCCCCCTACCACGGAAGAAAAAAGTCAGGAAAAAACTACTGAAAAAAAAAAGTTCTTGTAGTGTTGGGCTCTCTACAGTCCTCCTAAGGTGAGTTCTAAAACGGAACTTACATGTTTTAAGCTTGACTGTCTTTAGTTATAATTGTAAAATGTTTATATTGTGTGATTATGTAACGATTTTTTTTTGTTTTAAAAAAATAAAAGGTTATAAATGTTATATATTCCAGCCTTAAATTGTTATATATGAATCTTTTAGGAGAGGGTGAAAATTATGAAAAGACAATTAATTAGATGTTTAATTTACGACTAATGATGAATGTATACTAACATTAAGTATTGCAATCTACAACGGCTACTAATGTATTTGTTTTTCAACTTGATAATGCTAAAAACACTTACCAAACTATTTTGTTTAGAACTTAAGCTCTATATAATTTTTACAATAGCAAATAATAACTCAAAGTTGTATTTGTATGCAAGCGGTCAACATAAGGTGCAGGAATTTGAAAGGAATGTAAAGTTGAGCAACGAATTATCTCCCATTTGAAAATCCAAATAACAAAATAATTTTATTCAAGGGAAAAAAAACTTTCACAAGAATAGCTAAGTTAACTAAGTGTAACTAAGACATGTTTAAAAAACACAATAAAACGCTCTAAATTTCATTACGTAATAATTATAATAAATCTTTTATATTAGCTATGTAACCTTGTAAAAACAATATATTTTACTTATTGAATACTTAACTGTAGATTCTGTTTGAAAGTCTAAAAACGGTAGCTTTATTATAACATACTTCTATATAATTTTGATGACATACAAATCATTGCATACAAATACAGCAATAGATATATAAAATTTTGGATCCCCTAAAGAAAGGGACGTCTTTTAGAATATCAAACACGGGTTTTAGACATTGCTAGAATTATTGATTAAATATAAAAAAAAAATTTGAAAAAACAAAGTTTACGGTTAGTTATAAATTCCATCCTATTTAATATTATATATTAATACTTAAAGAGTGGTAATATAGATTCCTAAAAAACTAAAGATTTTTCAACTAGAGGACGCCTACCTTTCTTTGTAGTATGTTCCGTACTGAATTGAAATTATCAAACTTACGATAAACTCGACTACTCGATATACTCTACTACATTCACAACACATATCAAACTTCGATACCTAAACATAACTAGACTCGATGCTCCAGAACTACGACACCAACTCGTTTACTTCACCAAGCTCTACAAAATGGAACTCCTTATCAACAACGATTTCACTGGACCTACTACTACACTTTAACAGTCAATACAATTCGATACCTTAACACCACAAGAATCAATACTCCCGAACTCCAGAACTACGATACTTCATCACCTGCATTCTAATTTCTCTTTTACCAATCAAATTCCATTAGACCTTCAACCTTCAACTACAAAACAGCCGAATAAAAATTATGACACTTGAACACTTCGCCGTTACTCCCAAATCTAAACGATTCATCAAAATTTACAAAACAAGTACAATACTTTGAACACCCCATCATTACAAAACCCTATACACCAGAACAGATTTCTAATTCAAAGTCAGAGAATACGAGACTTACAAGCCTTATTAAAATTAGATAACCGTTTTAAATGTTCTAAATTTAAATTACGAACTTATTTTATCGTTTTCTACATCAATTAAGTGATACCAAATTAAAAAGGCAAAGTGACTGGTAAAAAGCGCCCTGACCTTCCAAATTAGGGAGGTGGGGTTGCATTTTGACCATAGCGAATAAATAAAGGCCTATATAGACCTAATTTTAGGGTGGGGGTGCACAATTGATAGCTCGTCCTGGGTGCCGAAATAGATCGCTGCTCCTTTATAAAAGATTTAATTATGAGGTATTTTTTGATAATAGCGATTAAATATTTTGCGCCCCCTAGATGGGACGGAGTGGTCTAGCGGTAGAGAGTTGGTCTGCTAACCCGTAAGTCTCGAGTTCGAATCCGGGTTCAAATCAGTAGACCGTCCCTGAGTCCACCCAACTCATGTTAGGGATAGTAAAGGCGGCTGGGAATAGTGCTGACCACACTATCTCTTCATATGCCGAGGTCACAGAAATAAGTGAAATCTACTTCCCTTGCCCCATAGACCGTCAGGTTTGAAAGGGAAACTACCTTTACTTTTACTTTTGATAATAGCGATTAAACATTTTGCGCCCCCTAGGGGTGGCGCCCTAGGCGACCGCCTAGTTCGCCTTATAGGTAGCGCCGGCCCTGGAGATGTGTCTTGACAAATTTGCACCCGTGGCAGACTCTGGGTGTCAAATGCCTCTCTCCTCTTGTAATTTCAGTGGGGGTGGGGATTGATGGGGTGGTGGGAGAGTTGTATTGGTGGTGGAAGAGGTGGGTAGGGGTGTTGGTGTGGGGGTTATACATAAATGTACACACACACACACACACATGGGGGTCATCCATTTATGATGTCCACAATTTTTTTGGATTCCCCCCCCCCCCACACACACAAATCCACTTATTTCTCTTATATAAGTCCATATGCGTCCGCATAAATCAAATTGTTTTCGACCCCCCCCCCCCTCCCCCCTAGCGTGTGGACGTCATAAATGTATGACCCCATAGACAGAGAGAGCTAGAGATCCATTGGGCACATGAAGTAGAGTTCACATGTTTCTTGACCTCGGCATATGTAGGGAAGCTGTGGTCAGCACTATCCCCAACAGCCTTTACTTTCACTAACGTGAGTTAGTACCCAACAGAGCTGGGTGGACTCAGGGACGATCTACTATAATGGACCCCAGATTTGAACTAGAGACTTTCGGGTTAGCTACCTAGCTTTTGGGCCACGCCGCCACGTATATCAGAGGCGTAGCGAGGGGGGGGGGGGACATATGTCCCCGGGCGCCGACCTTAGGGGGGGGCGCAAAATTGACAGTTTGAGGGGGGGGGGGGTGCAAATGAAAAGTTCGAGGGGGGGGGGGGGGCGCAAATCGAAAATTTGCTCCCAAGGGGGGCGCCAAATTGAAAGTATGTCCCCGGGCGCCGGGAAGGGTCGCTACGCCTCTGACGTATATATATATATATATATATATATATATATATATATATATATATATATATGTATATATATATATATATATATATATATATATATATATGATTGTATTTTGGTATGTGTATTTACGTCCTCTGTCGAAACGGGCCCAAATAACCTAAGCTACGCCACTTGACACCGTAATTCAACCTCGTGCAAACTCATTGATGGGAGACCAATAGGGGTTGTCTCCTCCTCGATCGATCCTAATTACCGCAATCAAAGAACAAAAGCCCGGACGCCGGGGGACCCTCTTCGCGGTCAAAGCCCCAATTGAAAGAAAAACAAGCCCAACGCATGTGGATCGATCACCGAAATCAATCACAAGCCCTCAATTCAATCCCACACTCAATCACCCGAACACCATTCGGGATCAATCATTCGAACGCCGAACATGTGGCCAGGGGGTGTCCGTCGATAGCCCAAACAGGCAAGCCGGCGGACGTACGGGGAGGCCAATGAAATCACGACGCGGGCCCAGCTCACACGTACGCACGCGCTGGCTCGCTCGAAGACCGAACGCGACATAAAAAACAACTCCAAAACGTAGGGAAATAAATACTGCGGGTAGCGATTGGAAAGCGAGAGAGAGAGTGTGGGGGAAGAATGGTGTAAATTTGTAGGTGATTCTAGAACCAGCGGAGACTTCACACCGGAAGCTGTGGTTAGGGTTGGCGCATTGTTTTGCGGGCGTTGACTACACATTTTATTTTTATTCACTCTGGTTTCGACAGTAAACATAGGTCACGTGATTATTCCGTGTCACGTGTGTGAACTAGTGATTGGTTTTTAGTATTCAATTTTTTAATTCCTGGATTTCTAATCTTCGGTGAGTTTAAAAAAAAATTTTTTTTAATAATAGTAAGTATTTTTTTGTTGTTAAAAAATACAAATTATACTTATTAAAAATTGCATATAAAAACGTATATGTAAAGGTGTGGGGTGGTATAAAGACGGATCTATATTCTTATTGCAAAGTCTACTCCGAGGTTTACTATTTCTTCACAGGCATTCATTTTCTGCTGGGCGTATGTGCGTCTTCAATACTTACCATACATACATACATACATACATATATTACATGGGCTATATACAGTGTTTTTTCCAGACTTTTTTCTTCGGGGGGGGGGGGGGGGGGGGGGCGGGCGGACACTGTTAAAAGTATATATTTTTTATATAAATTTCATTTCGTTGCGGGGTGGGGCGGTATACTTTTTTTCGGGGGTCTAAGCCCCCCCCCCCCCCTCTCGTAGAGATGCTTGGAAGAAACTCTCCCGTAAAGATGCCTGGAAGAAACTGTAGCTATATATATATATATATATATATATATATATATATATATATATATATATATATATATATATATATATATATATATATATATATATCTTGATTTATTTATATTTGTAAAGAACATTATGGGAATGGGAGATAAGTATAGGCGCCCATGCCTCTCCCCCCTCCATTGAAAGAGTTTGTTATTTTACAAAAATAAACGGCGGATTAGATATTGAACACTAAAAGAATAATGCTTATCAAATACTGACCAACAGGTAATGACTTTCTGTAATGATGCGAGTTGCCTTAAAAAAAAATAAAAAAATTAAAAGTAGAGGGATCCTTACCGTCCATGAGTCAGGTGAAGTAGAGTTTCTGTAACCTCCGCATATGTTGAAGGGCTAGAGTGGTCAGCACTATGCCCAGCCTCATTTGCTTTCTTCACTTAGAACGCAGGAAACTGAAATCAATGAAAGTTTAAAGGGGGGGGGGGTGGACATTGTACGGAAATGACTTTAAAAAGTTGGTATTGGAAAGAGTGCCTGGAAATCCTTACATTAAAGTGTCCTTACGGCTATAGGATTTTAACAAAGTGGGGACTTAAAGGTGGGCATGAAACGCGTGGATCTTTAATCGAGGGGACCCTAATACAGGACATACAAGTAAAAAGTCCCCCCCCCCCATGCCAATCCTGACGGTTTATGTGGTAAGTGAAGTAGAGTTCACCTGTTTCTGTGACCTCGGCATATGAAGAGATAGTGTGGTCAGCACTATGCCCAGCCGCCTTTACTTAGTGTGCAGTCTAGCTCTCTACCCCTACACCACACCGTCCCCTGTACACTGTACATCGTTCTACATCAATTTAACTGTTATCGAATCTGTTCCATTTGTTAGTACCATTTGATTGTTCTCTCTCTGTTAGCCACATTACTTTGTAATAACAAATCGATTAAAATATTTCAAACTTAATCAGAACTAAATACTGCAGTAATCCAGCTTTAGCTTTGAAATTAAAAATCAACATTGGGGCAATCAAAACAGACGCTCTTTACATAGGCTTTATATATATATATATATATATATATATATATATATATATATATATATATATATATATATATATATATGTCAATATGTCTATATATATGCTATATGTATATATATGTTATGTGTATGCTATATATATATATGCTACTTTCTTGTGCTATACATATTATATATATATATATATATATAATATTATATATATATATATATATATATATATATATATTATATATATATATAATATTATATATATAATATTATATATATATATATATATATATATATATATATATATATATATATATATATATATATATATATATGTATGTATGTATGTATGTATGTATGTATAATTTGTCTTTTGACGTTATCTTTGAGGCATAAAAACAGTTATGACAAATTAAAGCGACTATAAAAAACAAATGTCGATTAAGCATCATTAGTGCTTCTCTCCTAATTAGCCATAACAAAAGTCCCATTTTTGTTAAGACGTCATACAACACAATTAACACGTTGTAAATTACGCGAGTTGACCGATCTAGAGACCACTATAAAAAAACACGGCCTTAATTTCGACGAATCATAAATCTAAACAAATCGAAAGCATTGCACCATTGGGAATTCCCAGAGCTTCTTTCGGCTTGTATTACGTCTAATTTGCGCGAGCCCAAAACCATCAAACTTTGAATCCGATTTAGAACGAGGCTATTTCCGGTGTCCATGGCGTGGGTGTCTATAAATACATTCCATTTTATTGTGGAAGTACTAAAAATAGATTTTTCCTCGTACAAAAAAAAATGGGGTGTTGGTAAAAATCTAATCAGGTTTTGTAAGACGTGTCTTAGGAAATTCCGATTGACGAAATTCAACAACTTAGATCCGGAGACGATTTCCCAATGGTATCGGGCGTGTTTTCTGGAAGGAACTCGATCATTATCATTATCGTGGGCCAATAGTGTTTTTGTACTTTTTCGTTTTTTGAATATAAAAAAAAAATAACTTAAAACAGGCCAATGATTGAAGAAAAGTAATAAGAAACATAACGATTGAAAATTAATGTTCTAAAATTTGCAAATGCAGAGGACTTGAAAACTACGTTGTTTTTTTAAGTGAAGGCTAATTATTTTTATAGTCATCATCATTATGTGTTCTCGTTCATGTCCATGGCACATGGGGCAGGTGAAGTAGTGTTCACCTATTTCAAAGACGGATCATGTATGTGTATTGTGTGGTCAGCACTATGTTTATCCGCTAATGTTTTTCCTATCGAGAGTTCGGGTACCCATCAGGAAAGTTTTACAAAAAAAGAGCCCGGGATCCAAACTCAAGACTTATTGGCTAGCAGTCGTGAGTGCTACAATTCGACCAGACCACCCCTTATTTAGTTAATCACCGTCAACATTCCTGTGGACTCCTTGTATCGTATAGGGACGCAACCACACCTCTCCGTTACGACCTACTTTCATTGAACTCCACAAAATCTACACAGAGTCGTTTTATTCAGATCATTTTTGTTCACAAATCAAAGTAACCTACACTCCCTAGTGAGAGGCGTCGCGAGGCGCGGGCAGGGGGCGCGGATAGCACCGGGTGACACCATTTCGGCGGGTGACACCAAGACCAAAAACATGAAAAACGTAAAGAAAAAGAAAATACTCTTTGCCAGTTTAATTGATGATAAGAGTAAAGTGTTATTAAGTGCAAAGCGAAGATTCCAACTTGGGGGAAGGGGTGACACCAAGACTTAAAACAATTTTAAATACAGCTATATATATATATATATATATATATATATATATATATATATATATATATATATATATAAATATATATATATATATATATATATATATATATATATATATATATATATATATATATATATATATATATATAACTGATACTTTTTGTTGAGGGGGGGGGGGTGAGACTGTTAGGTGCCGCATTGGCTAACACCCGACCTAGAAACGCCACTGATTCTAGTCGCCACCAAAAATCCCTCTAATCATCGTCCACTCCGCTTTTATACCTTGGGATAACTATACCTAAGCACCCCCGGGGTTAACTCAACTCACACACTCTCTCTGCCCCAAGTTCTAGACTATTCCATCCTATTGTAACCTAACCTCCAAAATACCCCGCAACACTCTCCATCGTACTCGGTTCTTTGCTATTCCTCCAAGTCGGGCCCACGACATTCCGGCTGCTTCTGCTTAACTGACATTTTCCATGTTTGTTTTGGACTACCTACTTTCCTTAACCTAAACCTACACGCTAGTAAAACAAACTGTGATTGGCTACATAAAACAATAACAAAACTAGCTCACGCATCATCATCTCACCTCCACACAAACAGGCAATTATCGTGATACTAGGCATTCGAAACAGTTCAGCAGCAAATTTTAATTTTCGGTGTTAAAAAACAGTGGAGAAAAAAAACCAATACCTTGCCTGCTGTTTTCGGTAATTCCCTATAATTTACACCCCTGAATGTCAGCATGACCTAGATAAGCCCAGTTTGTTTACATTTACCAAATATCAACAAAAACGTGTCAAATTATTTGGGTTTTTTTTTCTTCACATTTTGTTTTGTTAATTAAAATATTTTTAAAAATTCCTAACATGTCTGCAGAATTTTTTTTTTAAAGACATTTTTCTTTGTGTGTATAAAGGGGGGGGGGGCACTTTAAATTTTCAGTAGGGGGGATTTTGGTTAACTATATTATTTCCTATAAACATTTTAGAATTTTAGCTATTGTTTTGTATGTGGGTAAGGAGGCAGTAGATGTGCATTGGAGTGGGGGGGGGGGGTGGACAGTACCCCACTTCCTTCCGAAGAGACGCCAATTAGTACATCTGGTAGAAAAGTCAACAAAAAACAACAAAAAAAAAAACCCAACATACAATTAAGTTTTCATTATCACGTATCTTTAAATAACAAATTTTTAACGTGTCTCTCTATGTATCCTACTCATTTGATATTATTATTACTCAAAGGTTAAATTAAACAAATGAACACACATATTTAGGCCACTTATAAATTATTTGGCTAACGGAAATTATGACCTAATATCATCAGCTTTTCTATTCTGTGCCCGGAAAAACAATATAATAACTGCTGATTCTACATGTAGTTAGATAAATAACTGATTCAATCAAATACATTTTGTCCGTTATATATAATTAAATCACAAGTAAGATCCATTAAAATTGTGTAAATTACTATTGCACATTACCACGTAGCCTATAAGAATTATTTGGAATTCTGTAAAATCATTTATCAGCGGGTATTATATTTTCATGTGACATTCGCGAGACAGAGCCGGCTGGGTGCCGGTAATTTAAAGCCGGTGCCGGGAAGTGTAGACCGGATGTTGGTATTGTACCAAACATGTCCGCGCAGCTCCAAGTGGGTCATGCGCATTGTTCTATTTTAAAAAAATAAAATGGCTGCTCTTGTAATCCCCGCCCGCGAAGGGTTGAATGGACAAGCAGGAAATGACG